GATATTTGTTTTTATATAATTACTAACCTTATTTTATCTGACTGCCAGCTATATGAAATATGTTGTCACCTACAAAAGAAAACTGAAGTTCTTTTAGTATTAATTTACATTAGTCCATAACAATCAGTTAACATAAACAATAAAAAGGCAGATTGATTTCCTCTACATTTTTCCTTCCAAGGTTACATTGCACCATGGAGTGGCAGGTTTTACTCATTGTGGGACACTGGGTAAGTGCAGATAAGTTATTTGCCCTAATATTATTTTAAAATACCTTTTTCCTCTGTTGCTGTATTTCAGTATCTCTGTCAGTACTTGGGCAACATTTCTGACGTACCTAGCATATGCTAGTTTAATAAATTTTGAATCATCCCTTGGAATTTATCTTTGTTTAAAACTCCTGTTTCTTAGAATGCACCTTTAGTATGATATATATAAGTCATACATTTCTGTTCTACATGTTCAACTCCTTATTTTAGTTTTGTTTGTCAAAACATTGCAGGTAACATTTGTGCCCTTTTAATAATTGATTTTTGCTTTTAACCATTCAGTTTCCATCTTAAGTAATACTTAATTTTTAATTCTTAAGGTGCTATGTTATAAACCCATATGCTGTAGTTATGAGGAAAAAATTTAACTTTTTCCCTAATAACACATTAAGTTCTTGATATTTTTAATCTGTCAAATACACTAGAGGATATTTTTGCATTTTTAAAGAGTGCTATTATAAAATGAATTAATAAAAAATTTTGGTTTTAAATTAGTCAACCAGTTCAGTAAAACTTTTTGTGTCTAAAATGTTTTCCTAAGGATAAGAATATAATCTATTGATGATAGTTTCTCTCTCTTCCCACTCTTTGTCTTCTTTATTACTCCCTATGTGGCCCAGTAAACCTACCAATAAACAACTTATTGATTGGGCCTGCTTGACACAATACCAAAAGGGCTCATGCCCAGGTCTAATTAAAGGTGTAAGTAAATTATGTATAAATGACAAGCTAACATTTAGACACCTATTTCAAGAGATCAGCCTGTGGATCTCCGAAAAGTTTGAGGGAGAACCCTGGTTGTAGACAGTTATTCTGATGAGGTTAAATTACTAGGTCAAATTTTTATACGTCATTCTTACTTAATTGACTATTTTGGAATCTTAGGGCATTTCAGGAGCAATTTGTCCTGTCCTTTCAGTTTCCCTCCCCTGCCTTTGTGCCATCTTGTTAAGAAAGGTATTGTGGCAATATGGTATTTTACAGGATAAGGTATTTCTGCTAGTAATAAGTCTAAAAGATGTGAAGCTTGTTGATAACAAACATAGGAGCTAAGCAAAACTGCAGAAAATTCGTATTTGAACAAAGATTTTTTTTTTTTTTTAAAGATTTTATTTATTTATTTGACAGAGAGAGACACAGCGAGAGAGGGAACACAAGCGGGGGAGTGGGAGAGGGAGAAGCAGGCTCCCCGCAGAGCAAGGAGCCCGATGCGGGACTCGATCCCAGGACCCTGGGATCATGACCTGAGCTGAAGGCAGTCGCTTAACCAACTGAGCCACCCAGGCGCCCTGAACAAAGATTTTTATATTAAAAGTCAGAGCCAACACTTTTATAACTGACTTTAGATAAGTCTTCCAATTTTAGGAGTGGCATATTGGTTTTTAGTTTACCAGTGTAGACCAGATTTATTTCCATTTGTAGGTTACATTGGAGTATACTTTCAAGCAAGAAGGGATGGGGGATAGGAACCATATTTATAGTCAAAGGAAATTTCTTCATCTAAAAGAAACTCCTGTTTTATTTAATTTTAAACAATATTAACTTTTTAAATACCAGGTATGCAAAAATACACATTCCAATTATTGCATCAGTGTCTGAACATCAACCTACGACTTGGGTATCTTTCTTCTTTGATCTACATATTCTTGTGTGTACCTTCCCAGCAGGCCTATGGTTCTGCATTAAAAATATCAACGATGAAAGAGTATTTGGTAAGAGATTTTTAATAAATACTTTGATTTGGGACAATTATTTATTTTCTTTACTGAGGTTATCACTTTAAAGTTTTATTTTTCTTTGCTTGAGTCTATGCATATTCAAGATAAATTTCCTCTCATTTTGCGTGTTTAGTGAAGAAAAATTCAGTCAGTTTGCATTATATTTACTCATATTAAAATGTTTTAAATTAATTTAGAACAGTTATATAAAATTTTCATTCAATTGAGTATGTTTTCTGAGAGATGAATGTTACTATAGTCTGTGGCTGAGAATTGGAAATTATAACTTTGTTGACAATATAGTCTTTATTTTCTGAATTAGATCTGGTTAAGTAGGAAGAAGTTCACAGCCTCCTCCATTGTCCATATTTCAGTGTAAAGTCATTTTGTAATGGAGTAGGAATCACTTTTAAGTTAACATCCTCTTCACTGATAGATTTGTGTTTATTTCAAACTAACAAGGTGGTATTTTTGAACTATTTTAAAGCCAAGTGTTTAAGATTTGACATTCAAGATATAAGTAGACAAAATAAGCAGATACTAAAGACCTTTACATGATTAAGTCATCACAAGAAGTATGTGTTAAAACCTGAAACTTTAAAAAAGATTTGTAACATGCACACTTGAACTTGTGCAAGTATGATGTATGAACCATGAGTGACACTCAAGTTACTATTCTAGAGTAAAGTCGGGAGAGAAAAATAGCACCTGCATGAGTTATAACCAAGGATAACATTCATTTTTGTCCTGTTTATATAGATTAGTGACTTTGGATAAGGTCTTGTTAATATTCTGTCATTCAGAAGAATGATAGAATTAGCTTAAACATTTTGCCCACCTCGTTAGTCAGCACTCCCAATCCCAGGTATATACCCAAGAGAAATAAGTGCGTATGTCCAACAAAGGACATGTTTAAGAATGTACATAGCAAATTTATCCATAATAGCCCCTAATTAGAAACCTTCCAAAGGTTATCAGCAGTGGAACAGACAAATAAATTCTGATGTATTTGTACAATGTAATATAACACAGCATTTAATAAAAGAATAGCATGGGTAAATAAAAGAAGCCAGTACAAAAGAGAACATTTTTATATAATTTCATTTTAAGAAGTTCAAGAATAAAGAAAACCAAATTAATGCTTCAGAAGTTCAAATAATAGTGATTACCTTTTTTGTTAGAGAGGAGGGAGGGCAGCTATTAACTGGGAAGAAGCATGAGGGTTCCTTCTGAGGGAGATATACAAATGTTCTATATTTTGATATGGGTAGTAATTACATAGGTGTGCACATATGTAAAAATTCATTGAGCTGTACACTTAAGAATATGATATAATAAATCTGTGGTCAGAAAAAAATTTAGTTTCAAATGAGATAAGAGCTCTGATGACCACTGACTTTCTAAAGTCATAGAGCCTTTAGCCAGAATTGGTGGAGCCTTTCCCTTGGTTAGCACATTATCTAGAAGGCTTTGACTGTTAAAAATTACTTTCAAAAATTTAAGTCTCTTGGCAGTAACTTTACAAGTTCCTCCTTTGGTTAATAAATTACATTCTTTTCATCCCATTCCTACTTTAAAGCAGGCTTTATGCCAGATATTTGCATTGGCTTTTCATAGACTGTTTGATTCTGTAAATTTACTGTGCCTAATAATACAATTCACCAAGTATGTTTTTGTCTATTAGCTATGGATTTTCTAATGTGTGATGCTATTGACAAGTACTAAATTATCATCTTTCCCATGATAATTAAATGTGAATCATGATATATTAACCTAAAACTGTTGATATGTAGTGTTCAGTCAACTTGCCTTATAATTTCTAAATATGACTATTAAATCAGTTGGTCTGTATTATCAATTTAAAAACAATTAGCTCTTTATGGATGTGTGTCTCTTTTTTAGCTTTGATTTATAATGTAGTATTAAATACTGAATTCAGTTTTCTGTGGACATTTTCTGAAGTGTTATAAGTGAACTTGTCTTTGCAGTTGCTCTGTATGCAATCAGTGCTGTCTATTTTGCTGGAGTGATGGTGCGGCTGATGTTGACTCTGACTCCGGTCGTCTGTATGCTGTCTGCAATTGCCTTCTCGAATGTTTTTGAGCACTATTTGGGGGATGACATGAAAAGGGAAAACCCACCTGTGGAAGACAGCAGTGATGAGGATGATAAAAGAAACCCAGGAAATTTGTATGATAAGGTGGGCATCTAAGGCCTTTAAAAATTTTATGTGCTTTATTTTTCTACCATGGTAAGAACTATACATATTAAGAAAAATGATTAAACAAGGAGTTAGACAACCTGTGACTATTTGCCTCAACATTTGGGCCCTGTTTGGTCTTTTGGTCTTTTAGCTTAGAATAAGAAAATACAGTGTAATCAGAGAAGAAATTCTCTTTTTTTGTTGCTCAGGTATTATCTGAAACCCCTCCACTTTTGAGAGTTAAAAACCTCGTGCTCTACTTAATTACACAAAATTTAGCACACTCTAAACCCTTCTGAAACGATGTGTACAAGCATTAATCCTTTAGGTCCGTATTTTAAACTTTTTAAATATTTGGTTGATTGAAAAGTAAAGGGAATAAAGTGCGTTTAAAACAAAAAAAAAAGCTTCTTGCGCACGTGGGTGACTCAGTTGATTAAGTGTCTGACTCTTGATTTTGGCTTAGGTCATGAGATTGAGCCCTCCATCAGTCTCCATACTAGGCATGAAGCCTGCTTAAGATTTTCTCTCCCTCTAGCCCCCACCCCACCCCACCCCACCTCCCAGCTTGCATGAGTGTGTACACATACTCTCTGTCTTGCTCTCTTAAAAAAAAAAGCCTCTAGTTTGTTAGTAACAGGTGGCTGTCCAGTATAATGTAATTTACTTTTAGCCTCTCAAATAACACAGCAGGATTATATTTGGTGCTGGTATAGAAAAGACTTGTAAGAGCACTTGGCTTGGATGACCTTTTTTTTTTATCCCATGTTATTTATTTTCATGAGCGGGGCAAAAAAGAACCTTTTATGAAAAAATACGGAATGTTTCTGAATTTGCGTGTCATCCTTGTGCAGGGGCCATGTTAAACTTCACTATTTGAATATTCAGTAGGTTTTTAAATACCAGTAAGCAATGAGACTTCCCATTATAAGTATTAACTTTGAAGTTCTTCTTTTCCTTTTTATAGGTCCCATAGAATTTATGCAGATTTGTGTTAATAAAGCACATTGTTGCTTTTGTGGTTGTTATGTTTTGTGGTTTTTTAAAACTAGCATTGCAATTTAGAACCTGTGACTCAGTTTTTGGTGGCATTTTCTTGTTGTTTTCAAAAATGTAATCTTAACAAGATTGTAATCTTAACAAAATAACAAGCCTGTTATTTTGAGGCTTTGGTAATTAGAAGATTATGATAATGCAGGTTTTCCCTATACTAAAGTCCTGCAATCTGAATTATAGGTGGACATTGCCATTTTCAGGATGATAAATTCAGATTTTATAAGAAAAGGTTGCCAGAATGAGGCCAAATATTTAGAGATAACCAAAGTTATCGCCTTTGTCTTTGTTTTGTTTTCTGCCTTTGTGTTTAAGTAAAACATAAGGGCACCTGGGTTCAGAAGTTTCATACTAGAAGTATTTTGCTTTGTGATCAGCTCCTGAATTGAGTATAGTCCCAGAAATCCTTCTCATTCACATTTGACTTTAAAATCTACCTTGATAACTTTTAGAAAACATATCACCCACACAAGAATACCTGATGGTTATACATTTTCCTTCTCAAAGAATTAAATTGATTTAACATTTTCCCTGAATGTCTTAATGACACAAGTGAAATAATTGATTTGTTTAACCAGTTTTTCTATTTTCAGGCAGGTAAAGTGAGGAAACATGTAACTGAACAGGAAAAAACTGAAGAAGGATTAGGTCCTAATATAAAAAGTATTGTCACCATGTTGATGCTGATGCTACTGATGATGTTTGCAGTCCACTGTACCTGGGTCACAAGCAACGCCTACTCCAGTCCAAGTGTGGTCCTGGCCTCTTACAATCATGATGGGTAAGAAAGTAACTTGGCGGGGCACCTGGGTGGCTCAGTCGGTTAAGTGTCTGCCTTCGGCTCGGGTCATGATCCCGGTGTCCTGCGATGGAGCCTACCATCGCGTTGGGCTCCCTCTCCCTTTGCCCCTCCCCCTGCTTGTGCTCTCTCACTCTCCTCTCTCTCAAGTAAATAAAGTAAAATAAAAAAGAAAGCAACTTGGCTATAAAAGGATTTTTTTACCTACCCTTTTTTTCTGTCTCAAAAGATAGCATTCAAAGATAGAATGATGTTTGTGAGGCTCTGCATTTGAATCCACCATGTTTTTCTTTTACCTCCCTACGGACACTTCCACCCCAGAACTACTAAACCAGAATCGCTTTTTTTCAAGATGGCCAGGTGATTTGTGTGCATATTACAGTTTAAAAAGCACTAGTCTAGGTCTTCATGGATTTTTCCCCCCTGTTGTTGAGGCTTTTAAAATGTGAAATTACCTAATGGCTTAGCCCCTCAAGATTTTAAGTGACCCTCTTCACATTTAAGATCTTATTTAAAAGAATATTGTGATTCTTTTCAGCACCAGGAATATCTTAGATGATTTTAGAGAAGCTTACTTTTGGCTAAGGCAAAATACAGATGAACATGCCCGAGTGATGTCTTGGTGGGATTATGGCTATCAGATAGCTGGAATGGCTAACAGAACTACTTTGGTGGATAATAACACCTGGAATAACAGCCACATAGCACTGGTAAGCATTTGATAAACAAAAGATTAAAAATTACAAATCTTTATTTACTACTTAGCAGTCAGGCTTCACTTTGTGTTTGAGTAGGGAAAATGTGGGTAAAAGTATTCTTTGCTTGCTGAATTCTCAAAATAATATTTCACACATTTATTCAATAAAGTGAATTCAAGGTATGCTCATATACTTTGTTTTTAAGAATGGTGTCTCCTTATTTAAATATTCAGAATTGTAGGCTGATTTCTGGCATATCACATGATAAACTTAGCTCACTGAAGAATTAGGTAAAATCTGAAACTTTTAAGTATTATTTAACTTTTATTTTCCATTTTTAAAATTAAAATTATTTGCAAGTATATAAAGCCAAATGTACTGCATTTTTATGGGCATGTAAATTACGTTCACTCTATTAAATAAGTAATTTGCATAAATTAAGGTAATCACGTTCTTTAAAGATTTTAAATAGATAATGGATGTTAAGCAAATGAGTTCTATTTGTATTAGCATTGTAGCTAATCATCTGGTAGACAAAGAAGAAGAAAATATTTGCATCAGCTAGATTGCTGGTCATCCCTGGCCTTGAGGTTATGAGAAATTGTATTTTTTATATTAAAATATTAATTTCATGAAGCTTAATTATTAAGCACAATATTAGAACATGTATTCAGATGTTGACATTCCTGCTGTAATTGGTTATAGTAAGTGAGGTGCTTATAGATCTTGGTAAATTTGTTGAATTCATAGCAGATCATCTCTTTAGAAAGAATTCCATGTAAATAAACTCTTGAGGTGCATTCTGTCCAATGTACATTCATTTTTATTTTTAGTGTACTGTGGGACTAAGTACACACATTGTCATTTTTTATTCTATAGGTGGGAAAAGCTATGTCTTCAAATGAATCAGCAGCCTATAAAATCATGAGGAGTCTGGATGTAGATTATGTTTTGGTTATTTTTGGAGGAGTTATTGGCTATTCTGGTGATGACATCAACAAGTTTCTCTGGATGGTTAGGATAGCTGAAGGGGAACATCCAAAAGACATTCGGGTAAGAAACTAGATCATTCTACATGTGTGAGAGACAGCTGTCAGTGTCCAAGTAATTTTCTTATCTTGCTGATTGTATTGTATTTGTTTTTATCATCTTATCCCCTAAATTAGTCCCTTACCCTGACTTTACTGTTTTTTGAAATAGTAAAGCATTGAGCATTTTTCCAGGTTTAAAACTTTTGAAATTCATTGATACGACTATTCTTCCCTATGAAAGTGTCCCCTCTCAAGACTCTTGCTTTTTACTCCTTTATAGCCTCTCAGTTCTGCCCTTTCTTTCCATTTACATTGCTTCCACTGTGATACGAACCCTAATGATTATAAACCTGAAATGGGACAGTAACCTTGAGATTGCTCTCTTTGCCTTAATCTTGTTTCCTGTCCCTATCTAACATGACATTGATCATATCATTGTCCAACTTAAAAGCCTCAGTAGATTAATGGTCTTGAAATCAGAGAGATAGGAGTTAGGACTAAAACCCTGCCACTGTCAGCTTGGTGATATGGGCAGCTTATTTTTGGCCAGGCAGCATTACATGTTTGAAGCACTAGGTCACATTCTTGGTTCTGGTGTTATAATGGTGACTAAGGTAGCATAAGATTGTCACTAATGGGGAGGCCAGGAATAATTAATTTGTGGTGCTGTTATGAAAATTTGTAGGGATGTAGATGAAGCTCAGCCTAGGGGTTGGTATGAAATAATCTCTGTAATGAAACAATGGTATAAAATCCAAACTCCTTCACTTGGAATGTAAACCCCTTAATACTACTTTCCTTTCCTTTGCTGGCCTCTTGTCCCTCTATCAACTTTTTTCCATCCGTCAATCTACTCTAGCCTGTGAAATTTGCCTTGTGGTTTCTTTCTTTGACTTATGTGATACCTGTGTTTATATACTCTCCTCTTTCTTGGAATACTTTCCCTACCACAGATTTTCCACTCTCCAGAAGCCCTTCTCTGGTGCATCTGTGTGTTTATCATCAAATCACATGTAGCCTGTTTTATTAATAGATTCTAAGGTATCTCTCCCTCTCAGTTGTGAGCTCATAGAGGATGGGCACCCGGCATTGTGGTTACATGATGAAGGGACAAAAGATGAGAGTAAGATTACCACTGATCCAGAATAAAAGAAACTTTTGGGAAAATGTATGTATGTGTGTCATGTGACAGGGATGAAGTAAAGCTCCCAACTTATTGTTCAAATGTAAATGGTGTGATGTTTTCCCTTAACTATTATTTTAAAACACTACTTCATTGTATTAATCTTAATTTTTCCAGTATGTGATTTTCATTTATTTGCTTTAGCAGTGTTAAAATTGTGACATATGATAGATCCAGTTACCATGCTTTCAAACTGGGTATTTTTGAACTTTGAGAATAGATAATACATTCACATGGTTCAAAAAATAAAATATAGGGGCGCCTGGGTGGGTCAGTCAATTAAGTGTGCCTGTCTCAAAGTCCTGGGATCAAGCCCCTCATCCGGCTCTGCTCAGTAGGGAGTTGGGGAGTCTGCTTCTCCCTCTCCCCCTACCCCCAACTCGTGCTCGCTCTCTCTCTCTCTATCTTAAATAAATAAATAAAATGTTATTTTTTTTTAAGATTTTATTTATTTATTTGAGGGAGAGAGCACGAGTGGCAGGAGGAGTAGAGGAAGAGGGAAAAAGCAGGCTCCCTGCTGAGCAAGGAGCCTGACAATGCAGGGTTCAATCCCGGGACCCCAGGACCATGACCTGAACCACCCAGGCACCCCATAAAATCTTTAAAAATAAATAAAATATAAAGAGATATACAATAAAAATTTATCCCCTCCCCCAAGAAAAGAAAAAAAAAGTCCCATGTTTTATTTTCTTATGATTCTTATTCAAGCAGGTAACTAGTAGCGAAGTATACACTTTGTTTTTGCTTTCTTCACTTTGCAATATATCTTGGATATCTTCCCATATTAGAATATGTGGAGAGCCTTCTTCATTCCTTTATTGCACATCTGCACCTAAAGGAATGGTATTATCCTCACCCACCACCATTCAAGGAGCCATCCTGAGGTCCCCTTCTCTGTCAGATTGCCTCTCCAAGTGGTTGTTCGGTAGTGTGTGTGCACCATGATTTATTTAACCTTTCCCTCTTGATGGATACTTAGGTTATTTCCAGGTTTTTAGCCTTATAAACAGTGGTGTAATAAATAACTTTCTATACTCATTATTTTGTCCATATATAAATATCTCTGTAGGATAAATTCCTAGATGAGAAATTTCTATCTAAATTGCCAATTGGCAATTTAGAGGTTAATTTATAAATTTTATGTAATCCC